AGCGGGTGTCAGCAGAAGGTGCCCGTCACCAAGCAACAGATATAATTCTGTTGACCGTGCTACAGCCTTGCCTACCTTAAAAATGATTTCTTCCGCAGAGAAGTAGTCAACTGACAAAAGGAACAGAAAAGCCTTAAGCCTGCAGGTGATATCAAGAGGGCGAAAGCTTGATTATGTTAAATGAATTGCTATTGTAACGTCTTTAATTTGAAAACGTTCGCCTTCAGACCATTCCTGTCTGTAGCTGGGATCTTAAATCCAAAATGTCAGGTAGTTACAAAAAAAAAAAAAAAAAATGATCCTAGTAACTTACGCAGTTTGTAATTTTGGTAAAATGGTCACTTTGCACCTTTTTAATTCAGGAATCATTTGAGTTTAAGAAGCCAACCAAACCAGCTTCTCGGTGTTCTGCACATGGCCATTCCCGTGATGGGAAAGGTGTTCCCGGACCGAGGCAGGATTCATCTCCAGCTCAGAAAGTAAGTACTGCGGTGTTGTTTGCAACTAATTCTCACCTAATCCTCTGCACACCTGCGGTCTGGGAGGAAGAAGAATTGCATCAGGGTTCTGAGGAAGTGCTGCTAATCACCACTATTCACGTGCCAAACAAAAAACCTTCTCTATCTGCCAGATAAGAAAATGCTCCTCACCTTTGGCTGGTGAGATGGTTAGGAGTTTGAAACACGGACTGTTCCGTAGTGTGTGAAAGATGAGTCACTACGGAGCTGAGGGGGTGTTGGCATCGAGGTGGAACAGACGAAGCCAGTTTGAAATTGTTTTCACTGTCAATAAAGTAGGTACTTGTATTGAGGCAGATGCGTTTGGAACAATGAAGCCAGATGTGTATTTGGAACTGGATCTTATGCTCAGCTGTGACACCCAGGAAGAAAATACTACTTTATTCATATTCTATTGCTTAGAAAAAGCAACGGAAAAGCCACGATGGGGTCCTTGCACAGAACCAGAGCTGAGGACGAAGCCTTGTCTCCACTCCTGGAGTCTGGCAGTCCTTCATCCTGCTTAGTACTCCTGATCTTGGGCTTATCAGCTGCAGCGTGCGTATCAGTTCTTGGTCCTGTTGACACCACCTGAGTCTCTCCTTTGCATCTTCGCTGGATAGCTTCTTCCAGAGAAGGGGCTTATTGCTTAGCCAGGCTAACGAAGCACTCTGCTGTTGTAGGCATCAAATACAAGTATTGGAACTCAGTTTGGGGTTTGCTCAAGTCGGTGTAGTCGAGGTGGTGGAATAACCACCGTGTGTTCTGTAGAGAGGTACGGCTTCATCTCTGTGGTTACAGCATCCTGCAGTAGACGTGGAATGTTGCTAAAACTGTCTTGTCTCAGTTTCCCCTGGGTGAAACGCCCACGGGCGTACAGAAAAACTACGGGCCGGCTCTCCTGCAGCGGTCTTCTCTGACGTCCTCTGAAACTGAAGACGATGATGGATTCCTCGAGCTGTTGGATGAGCAAGATTTGAAGGTACGTAGAAAGGAAATACGACGGACATTTCAAAATCAGCTCTGTCTAACGTTAACTGTCTGCCACCTGCGTGTGTCCTGATGCACGTATGTTCTAGCAGAAGGCAGCGTGGTGAGCCAAACTGCAAAAAGCTAGGGACTAGGGAATCCTGGAAGATGAGTTGCCGTCATCTTTTTCAACTCTTACGTTTCAGTGTCTCCATCTTACACGTGCTGTTCCCTAGTGCGGAGTGTGGGATTTACTTGGGGTGCGAACGGCTGTTAGTTTAAGAATTGCTGCTGTTCCGGTTGGCAGATGAGAATTGTGTTACCAGAGAGAATTATTTGTACAGTTGGCTTTTTATTTGAAACTTGCTGTAAGAGCTAGAGGTGATATTTGCTTTCGAGCCACTTAAATAGAAGAATTTCTAATGGAATTTGAAATGCTTAAAGCTTTGACAGAATGTTATTGTTATTCAGTCAATGAATTGATATAACTTACCTTACCTCCAACACGTCTCAACTTGGCTCCGTTATTTCATTGAGTATGGGACTGGTCATCGAGTTAAATTCCTAAAACTACTCCGACAGCTGAATTCAACTGGAATGTTTGCCTGAGCTGTGCAGAAGCTGTGGCTATTTACAGTCTCTGCCATGGAGGAATAGATGAGAATGAACTTTCTTTTTTTTTTTTTTTATTGCAGAACGATGAGGAGATGCCATCTGATGTGGCGAGCCTCTGGACGGCACCACTAGTCATGAGGAAAACGGACAATCGGGTGAGTGTTCTGGGAGAGCACCACACAACCGAGACAGGGACTTTTGTTCTGGCAGCCGTTTTCGCTACTGGGACGAGTGATCGTGCTGTCTCCGATCCTGTATCTCTAACAACAACAGCAAAACAAGATGTGGCATAAACCCCCTTCGGTATTCCTTTATCTCTAGACCCACTTTACCTGGAAGACTTTGTGTGTTCATTGTTCCACATACAGTCATCAACTTTCTCTTTACAAAACCACTTCATAAATGCAAGAAGATCTTGACTTCCCTTATCGGGTCCTCGTTGACATATCTTGAATACATTCTGCCCAGGCTCACCTGGAACGCAGGTAGCCTAATCTTCTGATAACAGACTGCGAAGGGAGTTTGAGACTCCAGCAAAAAGCTCCTTAATCTGCCGATAGATTAGATTGTCTGCTAATTGGTATAAAGCACTCTGCTAGCACATCGTTTTGGTGCTCCAAGCTCACCCAGTCCTCACGGCGAGAAACACGTGTTACTGGAAACGGAGGTCCTGAGTTCAGGTCACCCTGTTGACATTCTGCTGGTGCTGCGCAGTGGCAGTGTCCTGTCCGAGGCAAAAATTGCAACAGTCGGAAAGTCTGAAGCTTGCTCGGTTTCTGATCTATATCTTTGCTAGACAGCTCTTAACTTCTCTCCTTCCTCACAGGCCAAACGATGCCGGTTGTTTGGCTCTTCATCTCTACCCAGTGGCGTAGGAAGAACCACACAGAAAAGGATGGAGAGATCCCAGGAAGAGAATTCTCCAGGGAAAAGCAAGAAGAGGAAAAGCCTGCCTGGAACACCTTCCGAGGATTCAACGGTTGGTGGCTTGGCATCCAGTTTTGTAACAGAATCGATTAGGAGAGGATCTAATATAGGTGTCTAGTTTACAAAGATTAATGAGAGAGCTTGTTTTCGGGCAAATTGCTGACCTAGCAAAACTGCATTCTCTCTGCATAGTGCAGGAGATTTGGGAGACCTGGTGCAGTAGTTGCATGCTCTTGAGCCCGAGTTTTGCCTTAACCCACGGGGAAAGCTGAGGAGTCATAATTCGGGGATTCAGAGTGAACTCTGAGTTTCTGGTGTGCTATGGGAAAAGGGTCTGTCTGCTGTCAGCGCTCGGCGTTGATCTCTAACCTTTGCTCCTCCAGAGCCTGAAAATGGTAAAGACGCGATCTTCCACAGCAGAGATCGAAAGCATTTTGGACAGCGACCAGAGAGACCTTATTGGTGACTTCTCAAAGGTAATTCAAGCGATTCAACAGTCACGTGTTAGTTAGTTCAAGTGCTTTGATGGCCTCTCTTGGTAGAGATGTCTCAAACCAGGCCGAGTAAAGCACTTCCCCGTTTTAATTGTACGTACTCCAATTACCGGGACAGGCTGGCGGCGAGGAGGGTGCTGTCACAGGTCAGACGCAAAGCGATCCGCTTCTGGTTATTCAAAAAGATGTACAAACCCCCTTCGGTACAGGAGCCAAAAATAAAATTCTCTCCCTGAATTTTAGAATTCTCAGTTTTAACTCTTCAGCTTTGCTGAAGAGATTCCTGTCGACAAAGTATCTCTGTTACGAGATGAACTGCTGGACACTGTGCTGTCGCCTACTTGGCTCACGTCTGGAATTTTCTCAATTAAATGCTGCTTTTTTCGTAGGGTTATTTATTCCACACTGTCGACGGGAAACATCAAGATTTAAAATACATCGACTCAGAAATGGTACGTACCCCGGGGACAGTAAGAAAAGCGCTTTACTATTTTGGGGGGGGGGGAAGGAGAAAACACAAAAACATCCTGAAATAACTGAACTCTCTTTTTTTTTTTTTTTTTTTTTTTTTTTAAGTTTTTTTCTGTGCTGACTGGGAAGTTTGCGAGCTTCATCGAGGAGTGCGTGATAATTGATTGTAGATACCCGTATGAGTACGAAGGAGGACACATCAAGGTAAGAGCAGTGTCGAGTTGTCTGCAGGTGCAAATTGGGGTCAATCGTCGCCCTGTGGGGCTGCTCTTTGCCAGCCAGTACCCAAGGCAGCGTGGATACCTTACAGCCGAGGTGCCCAACTGGGGTCTGGATCCTGTCACGCCTACGCACTGTGTGACTCTCGGGACACTGAGCTCGCACTTAGGTCATGAAGTGACTTTTCCCTCAAAGGAGGGAACGTTTCGCTTTCCTTAAGCGGAGGAGGTGGTCTGGGTGGCGAGCAGGGAGACGGTTCCAGAGGAGGATGTAAGACGCTTGGTGTCCAGCATCCTGATATCTAGGGAAGCTAAAATTGAGTATTCATTTAAACCACAGACTTCAAAGAACACGACCGTGCAAAACATAATTGATCTTTTGAAGTTTGCTGTGTGAGCCAGCAGGCCTGCCCTCTCCAGTACAGTGGGGTGGGGAGAAAAATCCAACGGGCCACAAGCCACAGCTGTTGAAAGGACCATCCGCAACAGGTCCGGGGCACGCTGAGTCAGCGTTAGATTGTCTGCAACGTTCTGCTTGGCTTCGAAGCTGCGTTCCCGGTGGCTAGAGAGGGTTGCCAGAGCTCCTCTGGGAAACTAAGATGAGGAAACGGCTTGCAAGGAAGTGAATTCCAGGGGGATGGGAGCAGTCTTTTTTTCAGTGGCGCCCAGTGA